GAGGCGCTCGCGGTTGGCGGGGATCTTCAGCTCCTCAATCGAGGGCTGCATGTCGTCGTTGCCATAGTAGAGCAGCGTCTCCTGGTCGTAGGGGTCGTTGTCGGCATACTCGGCCGTCGAGGGCGACTCGTCGTCCGTTTCGGAGTCGGTGCTGTAGCCCAGGCTGGGGGTGCGCAGGGCCGGGTCGAAGAAGTCGTCCTGCTGGTCCTCCTGGCGGATGCGCTGGACGTAGGCCTTTTCCTGGGCGCGGTACTCGGCGTTGGGGTTGCGGCGTGAGCGCGTGGCCGAGTTGTTGCGCGGGCGGTGCGAGTTGGAGTTGAGCGAGAACTGCTGGGGGCGGCGGGCAGGTGCGTATGCGTTGCTGGGCGTGCGGACGGCCGAGGGTCGCGGCCCTCTCGTGGAGGAATTGGGGCCGCTGCTGGTGCTGGTGCTGGGCGCGCTGGTCTGGGGCGCTGGCGGGACGTCTGTCATGATGTGAGGCCCGCGGGGGCGCGACGAGGGCGGGGCGTTGGAGTTCCAGCTGTACGTGGGCTCGCGCAGAGGCGCAAGGTCGTCGATACCGTTGCTCGCCTGCACGGGTGGAGCAAAATTGTACTCTCCGTCTTCGATGCCACCAGTGCCAAGATGAGCATCGTGATCGGAATCGCCAGACGAGCCCGACCCAGAGCTTTCTAGTCGCTGCGGTTCGGGGGCGTTTACGACAACGGGCTTAGAGGCGTCGGCCATGGCCAGGTCGTTTGGCAGCAGTGCGTTGTTGTGAGCTGGGTTCGAGAAGCGCACGCCTCGTGCAAGTCCGCTCATGGTAATCGCGACGACGGCCGGCCTTGACCCTCGGCGGAAATGATCGGCGCCTCAAACCTGTTCGCGAGATTCCTGTGGCGGTGCATGCACGAATAAGCAGCGTAAATCACGGGGCACGGGGCACGGGGCACGGGTACGGGGCACGGGCGGGAGAGAGGGAGGTGCAGCACGTCTGGGTAATACCAGCAGTGAATGCGACCGACTGCCACGCCAGACAGCGCCTGCAATGGCCGGGGCCCTGCGTGGCTCCTTTCACATTCCCCTCCGCTGCCCTTCATGCGCTTGCATCGTGCCTCCTAGCCTTCCCCCCAGCGCTCGAACCTCCTTCTCGCCGTTTCTGACTGCCGTTGATGTTGCCACAAGCGCCTCCACCACACAGCACTAGCCTGTCTTGGCAGCAGTGACCTTGGAACCTTCCCTACACTACCATGCCCGGACCATGCCCGGGCCTTGCATCACCCAGGCCCTACCCAGGCCCTCCCCAGCTGCCAGTACCAGTACCTGTCCACAACCAACCCTGCCCTCCGACATCACGCCTTGGAGATCAGGGTCCAGATGATTCCACGTCTGCTCTTCGACCTTGGTTGCAGTCGAGACCTCGTCCGCGCAAACTGAAGCCGGGCCAGACGACATGGACCGTCGCCGGAAGCTCGGCAGCTACATCATCGCACCCGGCCTCCAAGTAGCAGCCACAGTTGCGCCTCTCATCATCCCTTCTGAACAGCCTTTGCCACTCATCACCTTCTGCAAGCCCATCCATGTCACCAAAAGCAACCCTCGACGCATGCAGCCTGCATGCACGCATCCTGGAAGCCCCTATGCTTTGCACTTCTCATGACGTCAGCAACGTCATTGTTCCACACATGGTTTGGCTCACGCACGACGCGTAGCACAGCTGTTTAATTGACAAAAAAATACACATTATGCCCTACAGGACTGTTTCGCTGCATACAAATTCGTTCCGTAGACCGACACTAAATATCCTTTCGCGCATTCTTGCTCTTGTGTCGAATCTGCTTGCCCCACTTGTACAGTGCAAATGGGATGGGGATGAAGGCGATTCCCAAGAAAGCCAACAAGCTACTCGCCCAGTCGACTCCGAGCTTGGTGTACATGGCGTTTGCAAACAGAGGAAAGCCCGCACCAAACGAAGATCTCATCAAATCGTTGCCCGCCAGCACACTAGCAACAGAGTCGGGGTAGGCATCGCTCAGGTATGGCAGTACAGCCTGGAAGAGTGTGAAAGCCGCAATACCAAAGCAGCCAGATCCGACAATCGGTACCATGTAGTTGACGTCAGGCCTAGATGACCATCCAAACCAGAAGAGGCAGATGGGTACGAAAAAGCAGCCGACCATTGCAGGGATAAGACGCTTCTCGGGTGCGATGTTACCGTTTTCGTCAAACTGCTTCTCCAGGTAGTAGTAGTTCCATGCGAACAGCACGATCGCTGCCAAGAATGTGCCAACAAGGATACCGAGGAAGGCCACACCCTGCATGCCCGGGCTGAATCCGTAGATGCCTTCAAAGACAATGGGGAACGACTCGAACCAAATGTAGAGTAGACCGTAGATGAGAGCGATGTAGAGGTTGAGCAGGAAGACGATGGGCTCAGTGAAGTTTAGGGTGATTGGCTTGACTAGCGACATCATGACGACCTGGTAAACGTTAGTGTTTGACATAAGCACCTGGAAAGTACTCTACTTACATCCTTGCCCGTCATCTGAGCGGCCATAATGTCCGGTTCGCAAGTGAAACGATCGTCACCAGTCACTTGCCTCAGACGCCTCGTCCTGCGGTGCAGAATGTTGGGTGAGCTCGTTTCCGGTAGGCAAAAGAACAGTAACACCCAGCAGAAGCCGGACAGCCACATAATCTCCCAGATGGTCCACGTCCACCCTCTAGCCATGACAGCCCATCCACCTACAAGGGGACCGAGTACCGGACCACAGACCGCTCCAATACCCCACACTGCCAAACCATAGACTTGTTTCTTGGGTCGATACATGTCGGCGATGGAGGCGCCTCCCGTCGCAAGAGCGGGCGAACCGAAGAAGCCAGTCAAGAAGCGGAAAGCGAGGAGCATGCCAAAGTTGACCGAGAAAACGGTGGGCAATTGGAACAAGACGAAGACAACTGGTGCTGATATTAGTATTGAGATATTGCATGAGAACATGCCAACTTACGAAGAGTTCCAATGTACACCCACAACCGACCGATCTGCGGGATCTCGCTCATAGGCGACCAGATGATGGGACCAAGACCGTATCCGGCAACATAGAGAGTCAAACCCAAAAGCGCGGGTACTTGAGCAACGCCGAACTCTGACATTACGCCCATGACACCAGGCGTGTAAATGGCGGACCCAATGTACACGGAGAAGGTAAGGAAGCAAATCTGGAAAGTAACAAAGTACCTCTTGGTTCTGGACCAGTTGCGTGGGTTCTAGACGGCTGTAAGGAGGATGCAGATGCGATTGATAGGAAATGGACATACTGCTGCATCATCCGGACCATACCAGTCGACAACATGGTAATCGCGTCCCTTTTCAGGATCGACGCGGACACCGCTGGGCTCATTCACTCCATCGCCGACCGTACGAGACGAATCATCAGAATCGTGTCTTTGATCGCGACTGCGAACCCCATGCGCTTGTGTGAGTTCATCCACATCGCCTGCGTTCTCCGGTGCCTCTGTCGATCCATGGTATGCGGCGTATCCAGACTTTTCCTGGTTAACATATTTCTTCCACAGCTCGGGATCCTTTTCTTCAGGATACTGCAAGTATTTCTTGCGCGTAACAAGTCGAACAATGTGGCCGAAAGCCGAGTCGCGGATAAGATCTGACATGCTGTCCAGAGTCACAGGTATGAGACAAGACAACTTATGTAGGCGAGAAACAAGCCGCCAGAGACACTGCAGCTGTACCTTTTAACAGAAAACTCCCGGCATCAAAGGCATTGAGTCCCCCAAATTCCATCCGTGACATCATCATCGACATCAGAGTCTGCACAGAGCCCCTACTACTGTTAGCCGTGCCTACCCCCTGGCGCGCGCACCCCAAAGGACGTCTCGGACACCGAAAATGCCCCCGTTGTGGAAGGAAAGCCAAGACATCTGCCGCTACAAAAAGCTTAGCTTGACACAACAATTGCAGATTGCGCTGGTGGGTGAGGCTACTGCTCAATCCATGACGATGCTGTTCGGCTGCGATCGGCGCTATCTATGCAAGATCGCCGCCCTGCAAACGACCATCTACTTTTTTCACATAGGCTAAGCTCGGAGCGCGCCGGATGCGTAGCTCGGCGTTGTGTAGCAGTGGGTTGGTTTAGAATTGAAATGCGACATGTTTGTGGGCGAATGAGAAAGTGGGGAAGGGAAAGAAGGTTTGCAATGGCTGTTGTTGCGACGGTGTTGTTGGGTGTTCTGGACCGCGGGCATGGTGGTGACGTTGATCATTTCAGACGCGATGCGATTTCCACGACGCGCGAAACGAGTGCATTCGCATACCTCGCATCACACGCTTTCTGCCCCCGTCTTCCGGCTTGACCACGCATTCACGCCCATCAGCATCAGTAAACATCAATGAATCCTTGGTTCTGCCCTTTGACCCTGGCCAGAGTAATGACAGCGAGATTTTCGTCACAGGTTAGCATTGTACAAGACAGCGGATTCCATGTAATCATTCTTGTGCAAACCATTGAAATTTCACAGCCATCCCACCGAGAGTGCAAGATCTGGATTAAAAAAAAAGTCTAATTGAAAATGCCTACCTCGCCGAAGCTGAACACACCTTTGTGACCCCAGTTTAGCCAGGAGCCGCAGGACTCCCATTTGTCCACATCATTACAGCTCTTGTCTCTCCAAACATATCCTTGTTGTGAATCTCGGCCTTCTTCGGCCCCAGGACAACTTAGTCCTACATCAGCGCCACGTGCAAAAACACATCGACATGGAAACTAACTCGGCTAGCAAATTTCCCACTTTTGCTGCGGGGCCAAGCTCGTGTACTCGAGTTTTCATGGTTGGTAGTTACCAAACCCACCCCTTCCCCCCCACTTCAACGCTGAAATTTTTCCTTCCCAAGATTTCACTTCAGTGAACATCGACCGGCCATTCAACACTGCCCGCATCCAACATTGCAGGATATATTGTAACTAATCTGTCTTTCTTTCATCCAATTACAACAAAGCAAATTCGGTCGCTTAGCTCAGTTGGTTAGAGCGTGGTGCTAATACATCACATGGTTCATTACGAATCATGTGACTGCAAACGCCAAGGTCGCGAGTTCGACCCTCGTAGTGACCATCCGAATCTTTCTTTTTGCCGTTGTGCACGTCGCAACGTCTTTTTTTTTCCTTTTTGGCTCGCGTGGTCGGGCTTGACGTTGAAGCAGCGATGTGGATTGATTGGGGTTGAGCTGGGACAGTAGGTCATTATGAGTACTTTGAGCATGTTGTGTGTAATTTTTTTCTTTCGTCTTTTACTTTTGGGGTCAGATCTGGAACTGATGACAATGAGTAAAGTAGATAACTGGTCCTATATATATATATTTACGATATCTATCCTAGGCCAATGCACAAGCCGGGTGACTAGATCGAGCAATGTCTACTTGACAGCGTCGCATGTGAAGAAACTGCATCATAAGTACACCATCCTGTTCAACTTGACTTGCTCCGCCCCAAACAACAGCTTAATACAGCGCTCCACCTTGTATTCTCATCTCTTCCGCGTAGAGCGGGTACAGTCGTGCTATCTGCTCTTAGTACCACTGCTGGTGGTGGTGGTGGTGGTGGCTGTAGCAGTGGCACACTAACATCTCTTTCTTCTTCTTCTTCTTCTTCTTCTTCTTCTTCCCCCTCATGCTCTTGATCTTGCAGCAAAGTCTATGATATTCTCATTAGCTAAACCGCCTTGTTCGAACAGAGTAGTTGCTGCGCTATAGCACGGTGCACAATGGGCGGGTGAGAGGGTATGTGTAGATGTGGTTGGAGAGGTACACAAGTGGGTGGGGGTATAGAATTGAATTCATACGCTTGGGTTCTGCTCTTCTTCCTGTTGCTGCTTAACCTGGGGTGGAGAAGCTGTGGCTGCTGGTGCTGGTGCTGGTGCTGGTACTTCCGCGGTGGGAGTATCGGGGACGGGTGTGGATGTGGATGCGGGGGAGCTTGGGGGGGTGCTGCTGTTGATGTTGTTGTTGCAGTCGCTGTAGCCGTCGTAGTTGTTCAGATTCTTGTAGTTGCTGAATATGTTGCTGTTGCTGCACATGTGCTTGTTGTCCGTGTTCCTGATCCACCTCTTCCCGCCCTTGTCGTTCTTCCTGTGCAGCGCTGGCACTCTGTACCGGCTGCTCACCCATCTCTACAGCTTCCGAAGACAAATCGTGCAGTCTAACCAATCTCCTTGCACTTCTAAGACCCAGCCTCGGCCGGGGTTGTTGCTGACTCGCGTCTTCCTGTGGCCTTTTCAGCTCACTGCTTGTGTCCGCTTCAGCTTTCTTCTTCTCTTCCTTCACCCTCCTCGACCTCTCCTTCTTACTTATCTTACCCTCCCCACCCCGTCCACCGCCGTCTCCACTTACACCCCCACCACCCAACAATTCCCTCTCCCTAACCCGCTCCATCTTCTTCCACTTATCCCGTCCCATCCCGTCATCCCTCCTCCCTCCCCCTTCACCAACCTCCCCTCTTCCCCCAACACCATCCTCATCTAACCGCGCAACAGCAACACTCGCCTCAACACCCGCAATAACCAGACTCGCCCGTCTCCTCACTCTCTCGTTCAAGTAACTGCGAGGCCACCCACTCTCTTCAAACCAATATGGCATGGGGTTTCCCGTTGCGCGCCGCGCTTCAGCATACTCGCGGTCGCTGGGGACGCAGCTGAAGCCTGTTAGGTAGAGTATCGGGGCGGGACCGGAGTCTACGCCGTCTGCTTGGGCTGTGGGCGTGGATGCGGAAGTGGTAGGGCAAGCGCGGTTTACGGCGGCGGAAGAAGGTGAAAAGGGTGGCTTGCTAGAGCGTTGTGCTGGTCGGTATGGCCACGTCATTTTGGGGGTTTAATGAAGGTTGTTGGTTGGGATTTTTAGATTAACCTGTCGTGTCTGTGTGCGTGTGTATGTACGTGTCGTATTTGGAACGTTTCAAGGGCGATGGGTTTGTATGTGCCCTACTCTGATATTGTTCGAAAGACGGTGATGAAAGGGAGGCGGCAGAGGTTTGATCTTTGAAGCGTTTGTAAAGCTCTTGCTGGCGATTTTATCACATGTGATGTTTCGTGCTTACGGTACCATGGTACAATCATCCTTTCTTCATTTGCGTTTGGACGTATCATAGGGCCGGCTTCTGTAAACGTTAGGGTTTGAATGGATGTAGCACGTAGATATTACCCGTACTCGAACGTGATTAGCGTTCTGTCAATATGTTGGTGATTGAGATGCGGGTATGACATGGAACTGAATCGTAGTCCTGCATTGGAAACTGTCAAAATATGTGGGTGTTTTATTGCAGAACTTTTGTTTTAGCTTGAGTGCTTTGAGGCCATCATGCTCCAATTTTATTTCTCTCCAACCCTCGCGTTCTGTAACTTCTAGAACTATGCTAGCTTTCCGGGTACAAAAGGTAGGCCACCGCTCAACCCGCCATCTACAGCCCAAGCCTGCGCATTGACATAGCTAGCCTCATCGCTGGCCAGGAACAGAACGGCACGTGCAATTTCATCTGGCTGCCCTCCCCTCTGCAACGGGTTCAACTGTCCAATCTTCTTCTCGCTTCCCCTCTTCCTCGCCGCATCGTATGTGACTAGTGTCATGCCCGTTTCAATTAGTCCAGGACAAACAGCATTACAACGGATACCGGAGCCAGAAAGTTGGTAGGCACAGGTTTGCATCAGACTGATGACTGCGGCTTTGGATGCAGAGTAGTCGGTAGGGCCAGCATTCGAGCGCAGACCTGCTACACTCGCTGTAGCGATGATGCTGCCACTGGGATACGGTTTCTGCTCCGAGGTCTTGAGCATAGCGCGAGAGGCGTGCTTTGCTGCTAGAAATACGGATAACGCATTTGTGCGCAAAACGTTCATGAAGCCTTCTGTTGACTCTTCCCAGAACACCTTACCAGAGGATATTCCTGCGTTGGCAAAGAAGATGTCAAGACGACCGTACTGGTCCAGCGCTTCCTGGCATATTTGCTGCACGGAATTCTCATCTGCGGCGTCGAATTGTCGGGTGTGAACATCGGTGGAAGGATACAGGCTGTTGAGTTCGCGCTTGTGCTTGTCGAGGTGGGAGTTGGAGAAGTCGCAAATGTAGATTGCGCGAGCGCCGTTGCGCGCAAATTGATGCGCACTCGCGCGGCCGATACCAATCTCAGAATTTGCTCCTGGGTGACACGTAAGCTTAATGGATAAGTTGCGAACGTAGTGTTACGCATACCAGTAACTATGATGACCTTCCCTTTGACTCGTCTATAAAACCGTCAGCTCAAATTAATTGCTTAAAATGACGTGTCGCGTCTCATACTCACTGGCTTCCCAGATCTCCAGCTATGCTCTTAATTCCGCGCATACCCTCAAATGTCTCGGCTTCGGGCAGAGGCTCAGAGAGCTCCTTGCTCACGCCTTGCTTTTCGACCTTGGGCATTGAAGTAGGCATTTTGAAAGACCTGTCTGAGGCTAGAAAGTAAAGAGTGTGGAGTTGACGCGATTTGCAGATAGCACTGGTTGCAAGTAGACTGGAGGCTGTGTAGTGAAGTTGCGGAGTCTGGACGCGGAGGTTAGGGAAATCTGGGGAAGATGCCGAGGTACTTGGGTATGGAGTGCGGTTACGCGACGTCATCGGCTAAAGAAGCGCGTCTGTTATTCTTTAGAGCGTCAACGCATCGACTAGACATTGGAATTTAGAGGCATACAACTTAATAATAATAGGTTTTCGCTGATATCATCTTGGCCCGAACTACTCCTTCAAATGCCTGCAACCACAATACTACGCCACACGCATGCGCTGGGCCAGACTACAAAGAAGCTACTCGCCATCTCCCTGGATCTGAACAATAGGAGAAAAAATAATTCCCACATGGATTAACCCAAAGAAAGAATAATAACAAAAACGAAAGCAGGTGTCATCGACACGGCTAGATTCGAACTAGCAACCCCCCACATCCCCCGCCAGCCTTCCGCAACCTCGAGTACCTCTTAGTCCAAGACCGCAAAGTCTCTTACCGAAAGGCAGCGATCGAAGTAAGCTCTCAGGCAGTGCAGGATTTTTTGGTGTGAGTGTCTTGAACCATTGGACTACATGTTCTTTATCATCTTGCTGGGCTGGTCGCGAATGTGTAGGGATATAAATCCTGTGGAAATATGGCGGTGAATCAAGGGAGATAATGGCGTGTGTAGTTGAGCTAGAAATGTCTCATTCAATTGACATTATTTTGGCTAGAACATGCGGTAATAAACTACCTCTGCACAAGCACAACCGCTACCCTTATCCTACATGCATGCCTGCGCCCACGCCAGATAACTCAAAAATTTACTCGCCGTCCTCCTTGATTGCTGGCTGAGCAGGCTCCTCTCCATCTCCTTTGGCCGCCGCTTGAGCAGCCTTGGCCATTTTCCATTTCTGTGCGTTGGCCAGGAGTTTGGCCAGGTTGGCAGCGCTCTCATCATCGGCAGGGAAGACGTAGTCGACATATTCCTCGAAACTGTCGTCGTCGAGCTTTCTCCTCTTCTTGACCCTGCGCGGCAGTTGTTTCTCAATCTTCTCCTTGTCTTCTGGGCTGCCGTGGACGTCTTCAAATGACTTCCACGCGCTGAGCAGGGCCACGCGATCTTCTTTGAGCTCGCGTTCCTTGAGACGTGTGTGAGCGCGCGTGAAGACTTGACGGGCGCGCGATTTGGCGGCTTCGCTGATGGTCTCGTCGTCTTCGGGTGCGGACTCGTCGGGTACACTGAGCTCGAATTGAGCCCATGATGTCCAGACCTTGACATGATCTGTCTTTTCCAAAAGACGCTCGTATAGTGCGCGTGTGCGTTCATACTCGCCCTCGCCTTCTTCAAAGTCAATGTACGCCTTCCAGAGGAGTTCAGGCATGTCTAGTTGTGGCTCATCAACGGCGAGCTCGAAAATAGCCCGGGCCCGGTCAAGGTCGTCAAGGCCACGCTCCAACTCAGCAAACTTGATCCAGGTCTGGCAGTTCGATCCGTTCCACTCGATGTACTTGGTGTAGAGCTGCCGGCAGCGGTTGAACTCAAAGAGCTTCATTTCGAGCTCAATGTATCCTTTGAAGAGCTTATCTTTCGGGCACATGCCCAAAC